GACACCAAGGGCACAGGAGAAAGATTACACAAATGAAACTTTATCAACTTGAAAAACATCTATGCGCCTGTTATCTCCTTATGTGCTTTACCACCTCCCCAGATTATCCAGGCTCGCGGAAATCTTTCCCTCCTTTGAATTGCATACCACACATTTATCTTATGTGCCATTTTTTGTATTCATAAGGGATGTATTTCTTGGACTCAGTAGAAAAGCCTTCCTTCTGCCTGTTGGCTGTGTAGCTCTGGAGTGTAAGTTGCTGTATTAGTTTGTTAGAGCTGCCGTAACAAAATGCCATGTGTGGGGTGACAAGGTAGATTTATTTTCTCGCATTTCTGAAGGCTGGAAGTCCAAGATCAGGGTGCCAGCAGGGTCGGTTTCTTCTGAGGCTCCTCTTGGCTTGAAGATGGCTGCCTTCTTGCTCTGCTCCTCACAGTCCTTCCTCTGTATATACCTGTGTCTGTATCTAAGGACACCAGTCACATTGGATTAGGGCCTACCCTCATGATTTCAGTTTACCTTAATTAGTTCTTGTAAAGTCCTATGTTTGCTTTTAGTCCCATTCTGAGATACTAAGGGCTAAGACTTTAATATATGAATTCTGGTGGAACACTGTTCAGTCCATAATAGTCGCTTCCATCTTTCTATGCCTTGGCTTCCTCTTATGTAAAATCTGGAGAAAAAAATACCTGTTTCGTGAGTGAACAGAAAGCATATAGAATATTGATACATGCAAAACAACACCCTAATAGCCTGTGATGAATGCTTAATGAATGTTTATTACCTCCAGTCCCCTTTAAAACTCCTTGAGAACAGGAATGCTTTCTCACTCATCTTGTGTCCTTACTGTTGCTAGGACAAACTTGGAACCTGATTGCTTAAAAATATTTGGCGAATTGGGACTTCTTGGTGATCCAGTGGCTAAGACTATGGGCTCCCAATGCAGGAAGCCCAGATTTGATTCCTGGTCGGAGAACTAGATCCCGCATGCCTCAGCTAAGACCCAGCACAGCCAAATATATATATATATATATATATATATATATATATATTTTAAATTTGTTGAGTAAATGCATGAATGAATGATCAAGCCTCAGAAGTGAATCTGCAATAGGTGTGTGAGTTTCTATTTAGGTGGATCCAGATACTGGATATTAACTAAGATTTCAATCATAAAGACTATGCTGAGAAGCCTAAAAACAAGTCAGTGTCCCCATTGTAAATATTTTATGCCACGTGGAGCTGGTTCTAATGTGGAAAACTGTCACCTGGCCTGCTTGCCACAGAGTCCAGAAAGTCACAGGGAAGTGCTTTGTGACAAATTTGTACACATACAAAAGGCAATATCTTCACAGCCAGAGGCTTCAAGTGATGAGGGACATGGAGACATCACGTGCGCAATAGGTGTTCCTGTCCGCTGTCTGCAGATTCAGCTGTCTTTGATCTCTGCAGAGGCGGGATGTGGGGAAGGTGCTGTGAATGGACAATAGGCCAGGAGGCTGAAGGGCAGCCGGAGTGTACCGTTCAGTGATCGGGTCGTGGTGGTGCCCGGACCCCGTGCATCTGATGATAAGTATCTTCTCTTGGTGCCTCGGAGTCTCTCATTTCCTTCCAGTTTGACTCCAAAGGACTGATTCATCTTCAGCCCCACTGCAGCATACCACTTTGAGTCTGTAGGTTCTTTCTTTCTGAAGCCCCAGAGGTAATGAGCACATCATCATTTTTCCCTAGTATCACTGCACTCTTTTCTCCCCACTGCCCCTATTTTCTACAGCTCTCTGAAGGGAACTTTTGCATCATCCTTAGTGATAGACTTCACTGTGCTGCCCTAACAGATTGATATCTGTCAGTTGGCTTGGAGTCAAGGGAATTGAGTATTCTTTCTTATTTTATTGTATATACTATTGACTTTTATGGGTATTATTTATAAGATAATAAATGGGCTTCCCTGGTGGCTCAGCAGTAAAGAATCTGCCTGCCATGCAGGAGATGTGGGTTCGATCCCTGGGTCAGGAAGATCCTGTGGAGAAGGAAATGACAGCCCACTTCAGTATTCTTGGCAGGCAGAGGAGCCTGGCGGGCTACAGTCCATGGGGTTGCTAAAGAGTCAGACACAACTTAGCAACTAGACAACAACAACAAAGGTAATGAATAAGATAGCAATTCTATACCTAAACATCATAACCTTCAATAATGTTATTACTACTTGGATATGTATAAAAGGTTTGTTAGAAGTTTAGATGTAAAACATGTAAATGTTACTCTCTGTAAGTATGTAGAAAACTGGAATTAGATATCAAAGCCTTAAGCCCTTTAAGCAGCCTCTCAGAGTTGAAAGGCAGCCTTCAGATGATGTAGTGAAGTAAAATGATTCTCAACTCTCACTGCACATTTTAATCACATAGGGAGAGGCAGATGCAGAAATTCTCATTTAATTTGCCAACAGTAAGATCTAGGAGTCACTGCTTTTGAAAAGCTCTTCAAGCAGCCATAACATGCCACCAGGGAGGACAGTCATCAGTCTGAGAGCTCGAGGACAGGAAACCAGTGTGTTTAGAATCACAGCACTGTGCCGGCTGCTCTACATCCACCATCTCTTTGATCCTCATGACAAGTGAGATGGTTCAGCTAGTAGTGACTGAGGCTCCGTCGTCACACGTGATGCTCAGCTGCCGCTTAACCGCTCTTGGCAGCACGTGGTGAGTGTGCGTTGGATCTCTGTTCTGTTCTTCTAGAAGATCCATGTACATGTGCGCTAACTGCTCTCTATTCTACCCTTGGTGAACATGGTCTTCCCTACTTTTGAGCTTTTAAAAGTCAACCTCAGGCTAATTCCAGTTCAGCAAATCCTTCCCAGCAGTGCTGCCGTATGGAACAGTTTTTAAATTCTTATTTAATTTTGCAACATGAAAACTCAAGTCCAGAAGCACAAACACAGTCCTTTACTGTGCCCTCAGCCCTGGTACCAGGCCAGGTCCCTTTTATCTCTTCGTTTTGCATTCCCTTAGGCAACTCCCTCCCTGTCACTTGGAAAGATGCAGGTGCAAACTCACAAAATAGTCCAGGGCTGTAGACAGGCAGGGGTCGGTCTTCTGGCCCACCTGCAGGTCGCAGGCGTGTGAGCAAGGTGTGGCTGTTCTGAACCCCAGATCAGGGGAAGTAGCATGGCTTCATGTGGACGGAAGACCCCAGCAGGCCCTCCTTCCCCCTGGAGAGGGGCCTTCTGTGGGTCTTTTCATGAATCCAAACCAGATTTTTTCTACAACTTCCTTAGTCACCCAGGAGAGATGAAGATGATGGGTGAAACATGATATAAGCAAATACAGACAGGGAGTCGGTGGCTGTCTAGACAGAGGTGAAGACTGCCTTCTCCGTAGTTTATATGGGTGGAGAGAGGAACATCCCAGACTGTTTTTAAGAATGTGTGTCTTGACTAAGTTTGGTAAAAATGGAAAAATGATTTGATTTAGACAGTTAAAGGGTGAACATTTTACTTTGTCTTTTTTTGGTTAACATTACCTCTCTGATAAGTTGTGCAGCAGTATTTATTTTTCTCTATGGAAGCATGACATGGTCTATGTGGAAGAAACAAAAAATATAGTGGAAAAGAAAAGAAACCATCTGTTACCAGTGTACTGTATCTCTGCTATGTGATGGTCAGGGATAATAGGGAGAGAGACGTGCATGTGTTTACACATCTGAGAGTTTTTGCTTCTAATGCATACTGAATACCTTCCACCTTATTTTTATTGGCAGCATAATATCTCATTGCAGGCACATACTCAAGTGCATTTAATCTATCCCTTCCCACTGCATATTTATGTTGCTTCTGATTTTTATTTCCAGGTATTAAACAATGCTTCAGAGGCCATTCCTATAACTGGTTTTGACTAACACAAGCCATTTTCTGAGGGCTCAGAGACTAGCAAGATGTAGTTTGGTATGAAATAGACCCAAACTGTGCCTGTTACCACAATAGCATCTGCTAAGCTGTCAGTGTCAGCACCGTGTCTGTGGTCTGGTTTGGTGATGTGGCTACATAATGAAGGTTCCGAGCTACATTCGTGTGTCAGCCTTAGTTTGGAAGATATAAAAATGTAATATGTTTGAGACAAGGAATAACAAGTTGAAGTATAGTAAGAATGTAATTGCTTATAATAAATATAGGCTTATGGCTTCAAAATAGCTTAGAATTTCCCTTAGAGTGTGCACTTTGGAGATTTCCACAGATGATCTTGGAGGTGTGGCATCCAGCCATTTGCCAGAATGAACACATGTTGTTCATAGTTTTGGCTGTAATTGATTTAATGCATTTTTTTTTTTTTTACTACTTTGACATTTATCTTGTTTGAAAAGAGCAATTCTATACACAGGTTAATACATAAATAAAATATAATAATGCGTTAAGTCCATAAAATGGTGTTTGATGAGGGATCTGACTTTTTAAGAGAAGTAAAAAAAAATAGCTTTCACCTAAGTTTGCATGTTCTCTGGCAATTATTGAAATAGTGACAGAATTGTGAAGTGTTGATAAAAAAGAAAAAATCACGGGAAAGCCCGTGTTCTTGCCCCTTTCCCATGCTGAGAAAGGCACAGTCGGGTCTCTCTGATTGGACACCACTTGACTTTCATTTCGTGGCTGCCTTTGTGTGCTTGGCTTTGAGTCTTGTGGTGGCAGTTGATTGTGCTTCAAGGAATGTTTGTCACTGTAGTGTGAGGACCTGGGGGAGGCCAACGCGAGTCTCTCTGTGTTGGACCAGGTCTCTGGTGTCTGCTCTCATCCAGCCTCCACGTGAAGGAAACAGAGCCTGACCCAAGTCCCCCCAGGCAGTCACTGTATTTTGATTCAAACTCATAATCGCTGTTTTAATTGTCGGGGCAAGAACTGAAACTCCAGTGTATTGATAATAGAATATTCTGAGCTCCTTTGAGGAGAATCACTCGTCTCTTCCCGAACCACCCTGCTTTATACTAAATCTTTTCTTTTCCTCCTTTTTTAGGCAGGGGGCTCCCAGGTGATTTTCACCAACCCTTTGGAAATTGTCAAGATCCGTTTGCAAGTGGCTGGAGAGATCACCACGGGGCCCCGAGTCAGCGCTCTGTCCGTCGTCAGGGACTTGGGCTTCTTCGGGATCTACAAGGTAAATCCTGTTAGTCGTTTATTTGAGTCCACGCTCATCTCCTACACTAGTAAGTGTTCATTGGTGTGAAATTGATTCCTCACATTTGTGTACCTGGAGAAGATCTTCTGCCGGAGCTCATAGGGCATCTCCATGCCAGTTAGAAAGAGGTGCCCCTTCTTGCCATCTGCCAAGTAGCTGTCCTCAGAAGACATAAATCAAGGATGAATATGATGTCGTGACCCCCGCACACAGTTTGCCACGGCACTGGCTAGAGTTTTGTTTGGATCTGTTACTGATGTAAAAATCTGGTTCTCAGCGCTGTTGCCCTTGAATGGCTCCTGCCAGGCTCACAGGGCGCCATCTTTCAAGGGAGACGGGCTGAGTTCAGTTTACCCACTCCTGTGAAGCCCATACCAGATCAGGAATTTATGTTCTGATCCTGTCGTTCCCAACCTATCCACATGTGTGCCTTGTCATAATTGTCTTGCATGTCAGCTATTTATCATTTAGGAAATAGTTTTTGAGAACAATTGCAAAACAAGAGCTTTAGACGATTCTTGAAATTTTTTATTTACGCTTTTCTACCAAAAAAGTTGTAATGAACTGCTGCTGCTGCTACTGCTGCTAAGTCGCTTCAGTCGTGTCCGACTCTGTGTGACCCCATAGACGTCAGCCCACCAAGCTGCTCTGTCCCCAGGATTCTCCAGGCAAGAACACTGGAGTGGGTTGCCATTTCCTTCTCCAGTGCATGAAAGTGAAAAGTGAAAGTGAAGTCGCTCAGTGGCGTCCGACTCTTAGCGACCCCGTGGACTGAAGCCTTCCAGGCTCCTCCGTCCATGGGATTTTCCAGGCAAAAGAGTGCTGGAGTGGGGTGCCATTGCCACTAGAACTAGCTTTATATTGTGCCCTGCTCTAAGGCTTCATCAAACATGAGGTGTTCACTGTTTTTCAATGAGAAGATTTAAAGAACGAAGTTTCATGGCCAGTTTGAATAAGTTCACCTTCAGGGATATAAGAAGGTAAGTCAAACGTCTGCTTAACATATCTTCATTTATTTGCACATAGATATAGAAAGTCATATTGTGCAGAATTAGTGTTACCTTTTTTCTATGTAAACATATCTAGAAATATTCTTCATGTGAGTTTTGAATCAGTTTCATGATCACCACTTAATCCACATTTTAAATCAGCAGTTCACATGGTTTTGCAAAGCCTGCCATCTTCATTTTCATTCCATGCTGGCAAGAGGAAGGCCTTTTGGACGTTGTGTAATACTGACCCTGGAAACCTTGTCCCACAGACACATAAGATTAGAGTTGTTCCTTTTTTTTCTATTCCCAACTTATCCTGAGTGGATATAAATGGTCCATGTGTAACATATACTGCTTTTTCAAGTGAACTTTAAATGCCTAGTTTTGCCATTCAGCACAGCATTTATAGAATTATTCCCTAAGGATATTTTTTTATCCTTTTCTTTTTAACTCAGGTTTTTAGGTGACCTTGGTGAAAAATCAGTGTAATAACTGAGGTTGTTTCAAGCAAGTCTGCCTTCCTCAGCTGGAACTCTATACTTCTCAAGGTCAAGTAGTGGGCAGAGTACTCCAAGATCTGAGACGTTGTGAGGATCAAATATTATGTGATGCCCCTCTTAGTGTTTTGGGGAGAACCTCGCCCTTTATTTAGAGATCTTGCAGTGTTTAGGAATACACACATGCTGATTTATTTATTTATGCATTTTTGGCTGTGCTGGGTCTTCACTGCTGTGTAGGCGTCTCCCTAGTGGTAGCGAGCAGGGGCTACCTTCTGCTGTGGTTCAGGCCTCTCATTGCCGTGGCTTCTTCTGTTGTGGAGCACCGGCTCTAGGGCATCTGGGCTTCAGCAGTAGCAGCAGGTGGGTTCAGCACTTGTGGCTCTTGGGCTCAGTTGCTCTGCGGCCTGTGGCATCTTCTTGGATCGGGGATCAAAACCCGCGTCTCAAAACCCTTCATTGGCAGGTGGGCTCTTCACCACTGAGCCACCGGGGAAGTCCTGTGCTAGAATTTTTTTTTTAAGTAGCACTTAAAATGCTCAGTGTGATCATACAGTGGAACACAAAGTGATGGCTGTTTCATTCACCAAATTGTGATCCAGCTGTAAGAAATAAACAGTCTTGTCGTGAGGCATAGCATTCATCATCAGTCTGAAGAAAAGTCCTCTTCTGTTCCGAATCTTTAGGCTCTTGCAGACTTTCACATGATATAGCAGCATGTCATTTTGACAAGATGCCAGGCAGTCTTTCAGTGGCTTGTCTGGTAAAAACCACTTAGGTGCTATGGCAGTGACTGCTATCAAAATGTCTAGATGGATAAAATGGTAAAAACTTGTTTGCTGACACAGAAACGGAGACTGTTAACCTACCTGCAAATGATACAAGACTGAGACTCAGTCCTTTTCATCTTCATAGTATTTCATAATCTTAATCCCCTGTAACACCCCCTGGAAGGAGTCGGTCTCCTAATTCTGTCGTTAGGAGAACAGAGGTGCCAGCGGTGGTATCTGAGCTGAAATTGAGGCTCAGAAGTTTCTTGTTTCCACTTTGGTGCTAAAATGGCTTTCTTGACATGAGCAGGATCACTCAAGTTTGAGCAAGAGACCTCTCCATATAAAGTTAGTTTAATTACTAGCCTGGTGGCTTCATCTAGTTCAGAGGCATTCCACAGGCCTGGCTGCTGCCTCTCAAAACACTGCTTTCGGTGTGTTGGTAATTACCAAGTGAAGTCACTAACAATTTGAGCTTTGAGCTTCTGGAAACATGATTGCCTTGCGAGAGAATGACCTGGCAGGCAGGCCCGTCCGTTCTGCGGGCCTGGGTGTCCCCAGCAGATCAGCCAGTGCCCCTCTCCTCTCAGTCTCATGGGCTGTGTGGCCTCCCCGGCTCTTTCTCATCTGTTTTCTCCCACTTTCCAGCCTCAGGTTTTTCCTGTGAGTTCCTTTTCTTTGCCCCAGTCCTCCGTGGTCAGAAATCTCTTTATTGATTCCAGGTCCTGCCTTTGAGGGCTATTGCCTGGAGAAGCCCCATGGACAGAGGAGTCTTTGGGGCTACAGTCCGTGGGCTCACAAAGAGTTGGACACAACTGAGGAAAGGGACTTCTCTGATGGCCCAGTGGCTAAAGCGCCATGCTCCTAGTGGTGGGGGCCCAGATTTGATCCCTGGTCAGGGAACTGGATCCCACATGCAGCAGCAAAGATCAAAGATCCTGCATACCTCAATTAAGACCCCTTGCAGCCAAATAAATAAAATAAAATAGATGTTTTTTAGGGCTTCCCTAGTAGCTCAGCTGGTAAAAAATCCACCCGGAATGCAGGAATCCCCGGTTCTATTCCTGGGTCTGGAAGATGCCCTGGAGAAGGGAACAGCTACCCACTCCAGTATTCTGGCCTGGAGAATTCCACAGACTGAGGAGCCTAGCAGGCTACAATCCAAGGGGCCACAGAGTCAGACACACCTGAGCGACTTTCCCAGCTTCAGATGGTGTGTCCTGTACCAAGTAATTGTTTCAGCATACCTCTTTTCAGCGCTCAAGTTTTCTCTGTTTCTAGTCTTGGTGCCATAGAAAATTGTCAGTGACCTGGGGTGACTAATACTGTTAAATCTGGTTCTGTGTCCCTCTGGGTAGGTCTTGAAAAAGAGGACCTCTATCCTAGTTTTAGATGGGACAGATAATCTTCATTTTCCTCCCATTAAACCTTTTGTTTGCTGTTGTTAACATGACAATGTGGGACCTAGGAGGGTTGAGGGTAGCCTCTGTCTGTGTGTTTAGACCTGCAGCGTTTAACCTCACTTAATTGGACTTAACCGGGCTTTCTGTTTTTCTCCTGAACTGACTTTCGAAATACCCAGCTATTCCAACTGTGACTTCCCAGTAAAAGGTAATTAGAATAGTTGCTTTAGATGTACATTTGCAACTGAAAAAAAATGTGGATGTGGTAAACATTTCACATTCCTAAAGCTAGAAATAGTTTAGATAGAGCAGGGTCTGTAAACAAAGCACCCCCGCCCCCATTTTGGTAACATTTAGAGACATTGTTACAGCTCAGAGTCCACAGGTGATTGAAGTAAAGGCAGGATAATTAATTGTCCTTGAAAGAGCTATTTGAATATAATGCAATTTTTAAAATCTGCAGCATATACTACTTTTCTTAAGAAACCACGAGTTGGTATTTCCCTTTCATTAGGTAACTAAAGTATAAGTAAAATAAATTCTATATAGAGAAGTGATACGTATCTACTTTTGATTATTGCTTTTCCTTAGGTGCCAACAAAGCTTTATTTAGGGCATAGATTACACCTTCTTAATGAAACAGGATTTATTTAATGTTAAGTGGCAGCACAGCTAAGATAGACTAAAAGATGCTTCCTTATGAAGCAATGGAATAATTCATGGCTCTTTCTGAGAACAAAAAGTGGTCAGTGAAGCAGAGATGGTGAAGATCCGTCAAGCTTTGTTGAAAATTGTTTTCAGATTGTGTAATTGCAAATTACAACACTTCCATCTAGCATGGAAAGTCACCTAGGAATATGAGCCCTGTCTGCTGTTTTCTAATCAAAGGCCTCTGTCCCACTGCATTTGACAGTGAATCGTCCCTTCAGTACCCGTGGGGACAGATGCTCAAGTCCCTTATGTAAAATGATGTCGAATAATGAATACAGTTGGCTCTCTGTATCCACAGGCCTCACATTCAGCTGTATATTCCATCCAAATTCCTGGATGTTCTGTATGTGTTCTTCTCGAACTGTATATGTAAAGGAGTCATTGGAGCTACTGTTCATAAAATCAGAAAGCAAGTAATGAAATATGTTCTTGATTCAGTTCAGTCGCTCAGTCGTGTCCGACTCTATGACCGCATGGACTGCAGCACGCCAGGCTTCCCTGTCCACCACCAGCTCCCGGAGCTTGTGCAAACTCGTATCCATCCAGTCAGTGATGCCATCCAACCATCTTGTCCTCTGTCATCCCCTTCTCCTCCTGCCTTCAGTC